CAAAATCCAGTGGTAGCAGGAGATAATGACATTTCTGTGGCTGCTGTACAGCAGTTAGTGACCTGGTGAGAAAACTGTATCATGTCTCTCAGATAGTGGTGAGAAATCAGAGCAATGTGGGCCCGTGAGGCCCTGCTGAAGAGATGACAACATGTAAGACTGGAAGGGACTTTCAGCCACTCCAGTTCCTGGCTATTTCAGATTAGCACATGATACAATTTCTTCTCTTAAGTGGAAAGCTCCCTCTTTCAACTGCTTAGGGCTTTTCCCTCTCGCAGCCCTTACATCTGGAGCTATTCCAGACAGCTGTCCCTCTGGTCCTTAGGAACCTTCTTCCAACTTCCAGACAACATTTACTCATGAATCGTTTACATCTACTCATTCTTCTGCTGATCTTGTCCTGGCTCTCAGCCCTCCCTGCTGTTTCTCTTCTTAATGTACTCACAGACGCCTAACAGGCTGGCTCTTACCATTCATTTGTCAAAGTAGACACACCAGGATAGTCCAGTCCCCCGCTGTCAGGTAAGCCTGATCACCTAACCAGCAACCCATACAATGGCATTTATCCCCCTCTTCCTGCTGCAAGTATTTAATCTCACACCTTCCGGGACTGAACCTGCCCTTTCTGCAGCCTTGTTAAGCAAAGTCCTGTGGTTGACAAACACACAGAGAATATTGTGCTCCTCCACTTCCAATCAGCAAGCACACAGCTAATACAGAAACGGCTATTTTTGATTCTCAGGCTAACTACCATCTGTAAGAAACCCTTCAACAGCCTTCCAAAATTTCCCAAACAGTCCAAGAAGCACAACAGTCCTTTACGTACATTCCTACTCTGTGTGACATCTACTCCCTCCATGGCTGTCATCCAGTGGGTAGGACCAACACAACTTTCTCCTCAGAGGGTAGTTGGGTGTCCTTGCCTGCACCATTGCACTGCTACACCTGGGCTCCATTTCAACCACAAAAACCCCTGCTTTAAGTACCCATTGCACCGTGATTACATCATTACTGGAGCTGCTTACAGTGGCTTCTGCAGTTACAGTGACAATGTTCTCATTTGGGATTTCTGAAATAAAATCAAACAGAACACTTCCAGAGAACTGTTCATTAATTCCCTGCTTAAAAGCACCGAATTATTGGTCACTTTTTTTTTTAAATGGGATAGGGGAGAAAAGAAAGGCACTGAAGCCAGAATTAATCAGCCTTGCTCATCTCTAGCCCCTATATGGTTCTCCCTACAGAGCAAGTAAAGACCTAAAGAATTTTATTTCCTGTTATCGCATGCATACAGCCTCTAGAAGGAAAACAAACATATTTAAAATACAATTTCACTGAAGGCGAACATTTTAGCCAACTGTATTTTCAACAACTGAAGCAATTTTGCCAGTAACATTAGAATGCAGTATTGGTTTTGGGAGGAAAAAGAAGTACTTACTTGGGGTGAGGCACAACGTGTCTGGCAGTACAGAAGAGAACTGTAATTACATTAGCATGCATGAATTTTGGTTTTATCTAGGTCACTTCTCCACAAGGCATTTAACTGCAACCTCCTGATAGGCTTCCATCCAAAGTTTAATAGACAACCAACTGCCATGGATATACGACCATTAGACAGACTTTCCTCTGGTTTTTTACACTAGACAGTTGCTGGCTTTCAGTACCAATGAAAGGGCTCAGTACCACCAAAATGCAGGCTAACACACTGCCAACTTCAGTAACAGTGACCACAGGGCCCGGGAGGCTACATTGCAAGTAACTGGGCTGATGAAAATAGAGAAACCACAGACTGCTCAGCAACTCCTTCAGAAATCCATGTGCTGCACTTTGGAGCGGCTGCTTGCCAACTGGCTGCAGATGAACCCAAAGCAGACACAGAAAAGCAAAACTATCCTGAAACAGATCAATTGTTTTTTTAAAAAAAAGTCACTCACTGCAACAAGGCTCTAAAGGGGAAAAATATCGAGCGCTTTTATGTATCAAAAGTAAAGAGTGCCGCTATATAGTTTAAGAAAGCAGGAGACAGGCAGACATTGTCGCTCCCAAACCACAATAAAAACCAGTATACTCTTTTTACGGAAGAAAAATTTCTATCTCCTAGATTTTACTTGAGATGATTGGATATATTTATCTGGAACATACTGAAACCATCAGAGCCAGGAGATGAAAAATCTGTGGTAATTCTGACAAGTGTTGGCAAACAGAACTGTCAAGTAAGGATAATGACTTTATATTCACAAAGCACTTTTCATCCAGATAGAACCCAGAGTGCTTTACAATTGTTACTAATGGATTATACACACACATGAATCACTTTGCCCATGACTGAAATGGAACAGCTTAAGGAGTGAACTGTTTAACAGCACATAGCAACGCTACACCACAGTTTAGCACAGGATCCAGTTGCAAATCCGAGAGAAATTTAGGAAGGCAGAATGTAATTATCCACACTGCAATCTGCACAGGATGCTGGGTTTACATTAGTGCTCCTCCAACAACCGCCGCTGGAAATATGGCAACTGTCAGCATCTAGCGCAGCCCTCTGTCACGATGGGAAGATGACAGGGCACCTTTTGGCCCTCTTTCAGTTAACTTTACTTAAGTTCAGTTAAGCAAACTTGGCTAAGCCTGCAGAGAATGAGTCACTTCAGGGATGCATGCAATTATCCAAGTCCTGAAAGATGGCATCTCATTCCGAAAAGTACTCTTTGATAATGGAACAGAGCACTTGGTGGATACCGCATGGGAAGAAAGAAGCTTGCACTCGATCACCAGTGCTACTTCCTCCAGCACCTGTTTCTCATCTGCAAGTTTCGCAGAGGGAAAACAAGGGGCTCTGTTTAATCCTGATTAAACTTGTGAATGAAGGAGCAGAGAGAATTGAAATCATCTAAGCAATATAACAACAGGTTGAAGAAAACAGTGCAGTGGTAATGGGGAAGGCATTATTATTTTTTTTTTGGAGTTTCAGGTAATTATGTGCTTATTACTAGAGTGAAAATAATACTAGAATAAATGGCAGAAATATACTAAGGAATGTTAGCACACACAATGAGCTTTGGGCCAACTTTTGTAACAGCTGCTCCACATTTCAGTAATTTCATCTCACACAAAAAACAAAATCCAAGCTTAAAAACACTTTCAAAATGTTAGAAACATAGGTACAAGCAATGTTTTAACCCCTATCAAGTCCTAGTCTCAAGTCCACATTCAACACCTTGTGAAATTTCAAGGCTGTACCCAGCAGCTTTCACTGATCTCAGTTAAGAGCTCATAAGAGTGCAGTACTTCTGTTAATCAAACATATGTTAAGTTGTTTGAAACTGCAGATTTGTCTTTCCCCACTTTATTTTTGTTTGTTGCTTTGGGTGTTTTGTTTTGTTTTGTTTACATTTGGCCACATATTTTGCAAAATTGAGTATACTTTTTAAGAAATAGGCTCAAATACTATTTTATAGCAAAAATAAAATTAGATACATTAATTACTCTATGAAATGCAATAAGCTGATACCAACGTACCCTTTCATACAGATACAATTTCTACCAGAATCTTACAGCATGTTCTTGCTTTTCTCCTCCTCTAATCCTCACCAAAACTGCCCTGGATTTGGAGCACGTGGACCATCACCATCTTTGCCAAAAAGATGCTCAAACAAACAATTATCTAACAGCAAACACAGTATTATGATCATTAGGTTAAAGACCACAACTCATATAAAAACAGAAATTGGCCTGCAATAGATTAGGAAACAGGAAATCTTTAAAGGGAACAAGAGCTACAATACAGCCCTCTGAAACAAAAGGAAGAACATTACGGTAATTAATTTCTATTTTAACAAACACAGCATACAACAGCTGGAGTACGTAAACACTAGGATGCTGGATATCTCATTGAAAGGCAGGAAGCCAAGGGGAAAGGGTGAGTACAAATGGAAAGGCTGGAGTCAAAACAAACTCTGAGATTCCTCACCAAGTCAGCGACCATAAGATCTACCTAAAAAATGTAAGTCTGGAAAATTCATTGTCTAGAACCAGAGATTTCACTGCACAAGTATTTAAACTAGGCTGAACTAAGTGATATTTTTTCTTTCAGTTGTTGTCCAAGATTAAGCTTAATTTATGCACCTAATTTAGAGAAGAAGTCGGACCATTTATCAAAATTGCCTTGTTTACCTCACTACTGTCCTCAGCAATGAGAACAAAGAATGCAACAGCCAGAGAGTTAGGAATCAGCCCAAACATCTGATTCCCTTTCACATTAGGAATACCACAGTCACCAGAGATAACAAAAGGGGACGGACAAAGAGAAAAATTAACTATTTACAATGATGTATATAGAGACGGGAAACATTTGGGGAAAAGGATCAGGCAGGAAAAAGTAAGAGTATCTGAAAAACTGCTGTACGTCAGAATTCATCCATTTCCAATAAAAACCACTTGTGAAACAAAACTGCTAACAAAACAAAGATGTCTTTCAAAGAAAGAGAATATTATATCATCTGGCTTTTTCATCATGGATCATAGACATTGATAATGGAAATCAGCCAGGAGTTCAAGTTTCTTTATTCAGGACTTTTAGGTGGAAAATACTGTATCTAGTTTAATGACACATCTCCAGGTGGGTTTCTTACTCTTTCACTGCTTCCTCCCACCCAGATCCTCTGTATTTCAGTAGCCTGTCTGGCACAACTCAACAAGATGTTAAATCTTCTTACCTTCAGAAACAGCAAGCGTCCCTCTGAAAGGGCCATGTCAAGACATATTAACAAGTTTTCTAAGATCCTGCACCTTTCACATTCGTTGATTCCCTGCTTCTTTGCAACAAGTCTCATCTACACTTGAAGACTTGTTTGCTTGTTTAGTTTAGGTGAGCAGCAGCTAACTTTGGCTTGCATGCACTGGATGTTGCTTTACTCATGCCAAATGGAGCTAGCGTACACGGACGGTTTCTAGACCAGGTATGCAGATGGTGGAGTGACAGAGAGATGATAAGAGTGTACCTGGTTGAAGTATTTTAAACAACTTTCCTGGCACCAAAACCAGCAGAAACAGCACTTGAACAGGCACTTTGCACATGCATTCTCCTGCAATAAAATGAAACGTTTGGTTACTGGACACAGAACTAGACTCAACCAAAACTGCCAGCTTAGAGAAGTTGCTCTGCAGGTGACTGACTCTTCTAATGAAGCATTCACTTAGGCAGCACATATTTTCTTTTGGATTACAGGAATTGGTTTTAATTCAGACCTTTCAGTACTAATGACCGATGAGCTGAGCATATTTTTTTTCTTCCTGTGGATGGAAGATTCTTCTCTGGGAAAAGAAAATAAGTGCTGCAAGCAGCTTTGTGAGCTAACAGCTGCTTGGAGAACACAACAGTCTGCGAGTCAGTAACCCTTAGAGTACTTTGCGGTCATCAGGGAGTACACTGACAGACTTTTAACTTTTTAAATCAAAAAACATTCACACTTCTGAAGTGACTGGTAGCCTAATGAACACAAACAAAAGAATGGGCAGAACGACGTACATGCACATGTGTGTGTACTGACTCAGAGAATATATTCATTTTTCAGGGCAGGAAAAAACAACACGTATTAGAGCAGACCGTTCAAAGACTACTGATCTACGTTAATCTAATACTAAAAACAGAGCAGAAAAGCTCAGCATTTGTTCCAACCCTCCCACTCCCATCACATCAGGAGCTCAGAACTGTTCATCATATAAAAAGTTTACCCATCAAGACAAGAAGACATCTTGGTAGTCCTGGTAGCCTTCCCAATTTAACCGGCTGGTTTTCTCAGCAAAAGGAAATTCACTTCGGTGAGTCTTTCTAACCCTTTTCCAGAGGTCAGAATGTTTGTGTTTTGTTTTGGAAAGCAGAGATCTCCCAGTCACTATATGAAAACCTCAGGTCTCCACAACTACCACTGTTAGTGCAGAAACCATGAACCTCCCAACTTTCTTCCAAAGAAGTCCTTGAAATTATTCCAAGAATAATTCCTTTAAAATGGCAACTGCACATGCAAACTCCTGACAGCATAGAAATACCTTAATCTTGCTGTGTGTTGCTGGAGAGATGATTTTACTAAAACAGTATTACTTTCTGTTTATTAAAAACGTAGAGCAAGGGACCTCAACAGCAGTCTCCTCTCTAATTCTGCTTGAAGACTGCTGTGTAGAAAACAGCTGTGATTTTACCTCCAAGCTCACCACACACACCCTATAGGTACCAGGGATGGTCGTGTGAACACCCTGTCGTGACTATACATAGGATGCTTCAAGTCCAAGGCAAACTCTAGAGGAAAAGACCTCCATTTAAAACCTTTGCCCACATCTCCCTCTAAAATCAGAGCTGTGCAGTCATGGCAGCCCTCTCCCCTTGCAAAAGTGCCAGAGCTAACGGCAATGGCACATTTCTAGGAGAAAAGAGATGTGGAGATGCACGACAGAAAGAAAAAAGGCAAGAAACAACCAAAACAGTCCAGCTCTATTTTGTATGTATCTTAAAAGATGTGGTTTGGATCCCACACAAACCTCTGGAATAGTTCTTTTTACATACAGTTTTTCTATAAACTTGCATTACAAGGCAGATGAAATCTTTTCTGTAAGGTATTTCATATGCAACAATAATGTTCTTACTTACCTTTGCTTTTTGGAAATTTGTGATGCAAAAATTTTCAGGAGAGCATTCTGCCAAAAGTTTCCTTTATCTTTCATAAAAATCTTTTTATACAAACACCAAATAAAGGTGGTTTTAATGTTAGTGTTTTCTGCTTTAAAAAAAAAAGCTTTCTGAATGAAGAAAATGGGTAAAATTCACATCATATCATCCATTTCCAAGCTAGAAATAAAGTCTTGTCTTTATTTTTTCCTGAGCCTCGCCTTTTAACTACTATTTTTATAAAGTTACAGACGTATATACGTACCTTTTGTTTTAGGATGTTATAAAGGTACAAGAGAACAATCCTTGGTATTCTCAGTACTGTAATTAGAAACGAGCCTTTTACAGCAGTTCCTAGATGATAGCAAAAAAGAACTGATACGGAAGACAGGATTGGGTGAGGTGGTGGGCTATTTTTATTTCTAGAAAGAAAAACAAACAATTTGAAAACGTTTCAGAAACTTATTTAAGAAGATGCACATCGTATCTCTTCACTATTTGGAAATTTTAAGCTGCTATCTCCTTTCCCACTTGAACTACTCCAGTTTTCCTACTGACTTCATCTAACATTCACCTTAGTCCAAAGGAAAGCAGACAAGTTTATAACTTTTACTGGATTAGTTCGGTTCAAAAGCAGTGAGTGTTTTCACATATGCAGTAATGGAAAAATATCTAGAAAAGACCTACAGTGGAAAACAGCAGAAGTGAACAACATCTGAGAATACTTCCTTGAACACCTCTCTCCAGCCTCTGTCACTCCTCTTATTCTTCGCAATCCTTTATTCGACTGTGGTTTCTGCATGATTTTAGTCTGAAGGAATGAATCCGCTACTTCTGCTTTAGTGGTAAGATTAAAACCAGAAAAAATATCACAAGCTCTCACATGTAAAGTTGAGAACCACTATCTACAGTTACTGTTGCAATACGGTCAAATTTTGTTATAAATTTTGTTCAGATAATTAACACCTTTTTTTTTCTTCTCACTGAGCAGGATTTGTTCTAAAGCGGAATACACATAAAAGGAATCTCATGCTATATTATATATATATTATACTCTAGTCTAAAAACCTCCTAATTCTGCTGTACAGTAACCTGTGTTGTTTTAGAGAAATGATGTGTTTCCCAAAAGTGAAAAGCAAAGACAAAAACTTGGCCTAAATACAAGTTCTATTTTCTTGGTTCCTTTCTAAAGGTCAGTTTAATGTCAGTGGCTGACAGAGAGTAGTATGACACAGCTCTCCAGGGTTTAGATGAAAACCAGGAAATGAACTTAAAGCCACTCCCCCATCCCTCTATATGCTGCTAAAAAAAATCAATTAGATTAACACTATAAATACCTTTAAAATGCTTCAGAGGATTAAAAAAACCCACTGATCAATACTCATAGATAACCCTTCTATAAAGCAACTCTGAAGCATTTGACCCAACCCTGAAAAATCACTTAGACAACAGAACCAGCAGCAGTTTGACTAAGTAGTTAATAAAGATCAGACCTCACACCACAAATAAGATGTCCTGCTTTCATAAATGACTCTTTCAAAACCTCTGTTATCTCAAAAAAAATAGTAGTTTGCACTGGTTAGGGCTAAAAAACTCTATAAATACATGTTTTTATTATAAACTTAGTTCAGCAAGGATTTAAATCATACGCGCTATGTCAAGGTAGGTATCGCTGTTCCACGGGAATCCTAAAGGTACCACTGTGGTTAATTCAAAACACTAAATACTGTGCAGCCGAGACGCATTTAAATATGTGAATATACCACATTATTTTAAATAGGAAATTCCAGCAAAGCAGTTGCTGCATTTATTATTTTTGGTCTTACAACTAGGGGAATGGCTTGGAGGACAGTGGAATTTTATCCTGAATAAGGCAGGGGTTTTTTCTTTTGGAGCCATCAGTTTTCTGTGTTAGAAACACAAATATCACAATATAGATGAGTTATTCTATCCATATATTACCACTGTTTTATTCTTCCTTGGCCACTACCTTACATGTGATAGTCTCAGTCAGATCTCAGAATAGAAAAGATTAAGTTTCTGCAAGTTAAATGTTAACCACCGCTGAGAAAAACAGAAAGGACAAAGTTTGCTCTTGTGTTAATAATTCACTTGCTACTGCAGAGAAAAATGAAGGGTTTTGGTATTTTTAACAGGACTGATTAATGAGCAGGAATAAGTTCAGTTTAGATAAATTTCTGTATATTCAGATGCTTTCCCACACCTTCTTTTCCTTGCAAAGGAATTCTCACAAGAACAGGGTCTGACAACGTTTCTCGCTTTGCTTCCAAACAGATTAGAAAAAGAACAAAGATTTTCCTTGTAATTCTGGCTCAGGGTAGGAAACATCGGAAAATGGCTAAACACACCAACGGCTGATGCCTGCGACTTTAAACAAGCCCAAGACTGGGCTCAGTCACCCACCCACCCACACCAGTTCCCCTTAAGGATGAAGTTTCACCCAGCTTTGTACATTATACGCCTGCAATCCTGAAGTGATTTCAGCACAAGCAGCCAGCCACACGTATAAGGATTTGTGGGCAGGTCATACTGTGCACCCAACTCTGCGCATGTCGATGCCACTGTGTGCACACAAGGTACCAGGGGAAAACAGGAATCTGCCTGCTAGAACTGGTTACAAGGCTGAGTAGGGCCACAGCTTACTTGTCCTCTTTGGTATTCCTATTTTATGTCACCACAGGATTGTTTGATTTACAGAGAACATTACTATTCCAAAATCCTGTGAACTTGTACTCAGTACCACATCATCTTTTAATAATTTCCTTTCTTCGGTGCTGCCAATTGCCTTTATTTTCTTGTGAGCCCCGTGACACTCGGTATCTTTCTTAACACTGAGTTCCTTGAATGATCACACATGCATCTTAGCTTTCATTTTAAAACCACTTCTTTGTGTGAAGAAAAAAATGTAAACTTGACACACCCAAAAGACGTAGACATTTGAAATGCAAAAAAACCCCTAACTTCTTTAGAAACCTGTCCTTCTTTTGAGACCTGTGTTTATAGTTTTCTTCAATCCTGCCTCACCTGTTTCAAAGACTGCCTAAAACGAGATTTGGTGCAAAATACTTTAGAAGTGTTAAGGAATGAATCATATATTTCTCAAGTAAATATGAATCTCAGTTTTTAAACAAATACAATAAATTATAAGACTTGTAATAGAAGAGACACCATCAGACTCACAGAGAACACAGATTGTGCTTCCAACCGCCCTTTTCTTCACCTGCTCTCAAAGCCACAAAGGACAGGTCTGACTACACATGTGCTGATGGGTCTTTTACATGGATTAGGTCAAAGGATGCTCATAAATATTACAGATGTATTTGAAAAGGGAAGAGGAATCCTTTAAAAATTTGGTCCTAGTTCATGTCTCAATGACTTTGGTGCAAACCCATACACCTGGATTTTTCACTTACTGGGAGATGCATGTACTTCACCTCTCACTGAATCTATTGGAAGCTGTGGTGTTGAACACCCTAAGAGTCAGCTGGAAATCCCCAATCCTGCAAATGCTTATCCAATTCCTTAATTTCAATCCTGTGTGGTGACATACATGTATTGCAGCTACTGAGTAAGTCACACGTGGACAGGACGGTGATGTCTGTGACATGGGCCAAGTGACCATACCGCCTTCCTTTAATCCCAGAGAGGGGAAAAGCCACATCTCACTGAACAGGTAAATACGCACATAACACCTAAGCACACTAAGATGAAAATAAACCTTCATGTAAAACAGCAGTAGCAACAAAGAAGGTTTTTTAAAAGACTGAGCTGTTTTCAGAAGTCCTAAAAAGTAATCATTAAGCAAAAAAAGTTGTATTTATTTTATTAAATTAATAACATCTTTCACATTTCCTCAAATAAAAGGCAGCAAAATCCACTTTCAGTGGTGGTACTACAGGTCAAACAAATGTCACTTGTAAAGCCAATCCAGCTAGAATGACCCCCTGCCCTTCCCATTTGCAACTCCGCTGTGGCTGTTGGCCATGCAGCGCATCGCTGTGTGTGCTGGGAAGGAGATTTCCGCACGGAAAGGCCGTGTCATTTCCTCGGAGCACTTACAAGCCATGAAGAAAGCCTCTCTGTGAGGTATCATAAACAAACTCTTGTGACATGCCTTCATATGCTGCCCCAGGGAATAAATTAAAAACATACAGCAGACAAGCTCAGAATTGCTGGAACAGCTTGAGATAACCCTTGTCCTTGATGGTGCGACTGCTTTTGCAGCCAACCATCCCCTCCCCATTCCTGCCCTGCTCCCCATCTCTGCAGATCTGCACTGACAGCCTAAAGGCCAGGAAGAGCAATCACTACCACTGAAAAACTGCATTTCCCCTTCCAAGCACAACTTTCTCTACAGAGTACATGTCACCCGGCAAGCAAGAAGAGGGTTTGACAGTAGACACACAAAATTATTTCAATACAGTTGGGTGGAGGAACCTTCCGTGCTCTGTGGCCAGTTCCTGCAGCAGTAAAATATAGCTGGAAAGCGGAAGACCCTAACAGAGCAGTAAACGTCACCACAGTGGTTTCTACAGGTGCTTCCCTGCGCTGTGTGAAGAAGATATGGACAGTAGCTTTGCCTTGGGGATTTAGCTGGTGTACCGTACCAAAAGTCAATGAAACTGCTTTTCTTTCCCGTGCTTCCTCAAGCAAGCCAATTTAAATGAACCCTTAGTGGACTCAGCATTCAGCTGCTAAAGCTGAATTAATTGCTACAGCTTGAGGAACATAAATTTGCTTGGAAGAAAAGAGCAGCCCATAACCCACATAACCACAGCCACGCTGGTTAACTGTGTTTAGAGCTTCAATAGGAAAAAGGGAATGACACAAGAAACGTGAGTTTCTCCCTTTTCAGGTCCTATCATGGCATGTAAAATAGTAGTGTGAGACTGTGCCACACTATAGACATCAACCTTTTAAAAAGCAGCATTTTACGGTTTGTCTGGTCTTTTATGAGCATCAGTTCAGTGCCACGGCTGTTGGCAGCACAGAGAATCTGAGCAGATATAGGCTCCTAATACACATGTTAAACACTGCCCTGCCTTGGCTTTTTGGATGGGATGACAAAACGTCACTTAAAATGATGGCAGGCACTGGCTGTTACCAGCTCTTCCAGCTTTGCTGCTTTGGCTGGAGCAGAGCCACAGCAGGAAGTCCTTACAGAGTCACTCCTGCAGCAGGGCCTGTGCTGCTGTGTCTGCTGGGCAGCGAGGAACAGACCATTTGGAAACCTTTCAGCAACTGAAACCTCCAGGGATACCTTCTACAGCCCAGCCACAAAAACCTGCTATGTAGGTTTTGGAGAAGCCCAAAGTCCTTTTCCCCTTCCTGATGGTTCTGGACGGCTGTGGCCAGTGCTCCTGGGTCTGCAAACCCTCTCCTGCCAGGCTCCCTGACTGACACTCACATCACCTTTCTCAAGGACTAACTTTCCAACAGATTGAGGTTATCACCATATTCCTCTAATATAAAATTAAGAAATGCCTTAAAATGCCAGAGATTTTCACAGATCAGAAAATCTCATCACTGAGCGCAGAGGAAGAGAGCAATGAGGGTGAGAGAGCTCATAAAATACTTATAAGGAAAAAATGTTTTCAGGATACTCTTTTCATTACCAAAAACTCAACAATGTGTTCTGAGACTTAAATCTTTCCCTGCAATGACAGAATAGCACTGTTCCAGTGCATGAAACCAATTTAATTTCGTTTTACAATACTGCAAGCCTAAAAAACAGTTTAAAACAGGAAAAGTAGATATTTTTCCTCATTTCCTCCACATTTACATTTCAGGGTAGTACAGAGTTCAATAAAGTTTGTTTACACATCTCTAAATTCTTAGCAGTGCTGTTAAAGCATTTACAGTTAATTGAAAAATATCTGCATGGGATGAAAAAAAACAGAACAAATGGAAATCCAGAGCAGGGATGAACACTTAGGAAGAGGTCAAACTGCCTATGAATACATGAAATTACTGAGGAGCTCTATATTGCTTCTCCATTTGGAGTTAATGCAGACTCCTGGGAAAGGGTCAAATGCAGCCTGTGCCTTCTGAATGGCAATTTCAGCAGGGTCAACTGAGCTCTCTTGGCTTCTACCAAGGCTCAGTTTGACTCCGTAACTCCAGTGGAAGGGGTGAGTCACATTAATACCGTACACACTGTCAAATCTTACTCACAATATTGCAACAAGCAACATTATTTGCTATTTAATTTGATTCCAAGACATTGACATAAACTGCAGTCTATTTAAGATTATTTTACCTAGAAAAAGATTGGAAGTAAATGGTAGGAAATCCTCAAAACTTTACAGGGGCAATTCTGCACTCACCTGTTGAAGTAACAAGTAACCACTGCCCCAGCAATCGTCATTTGCTGACAGGCAAGAATGAATTCACTAGTCCAGATAAGGCCAAGGAAGTGATACCATGCCATGTAGTAAATTCCAGACAGAGCTCTGTATTCTACTTGTCCTCCTGAAGTAGTCTGTGCAGTACCTGGAGTTGGGATTACACCACTGCGTTATTAGCAAATGCCAGACAAGAAGGGGAAAAAAAAGCCCACATAAGTGCTTCTGTGCCTTTTTTCTCAATTTTTCTTCATTATAAAAACATACATTCAGGTCAAATCTAATTCTATCAATTCTAACAAAGTCAGAGAGCCAAAATTGAGTAATTCAAACAGGATTTTGAGAAACAAAATATTACAAAAAGCAAAAGCTCAGGTTTAAAGTGAGACTGAGATACAGCTGCCAATGAAGTCAAGGGGACACCTGCAAATTAGTAAAGATTCCTGACAAAACATTATTTGAGATTTGAGTAATCAAATGTTTCAGAAGTAAACAAAATCTTCATTTTCTTTATACAAATGTGAAATAAACTCATAGTCAGTTATTAAATGCTTTAGATTTTTCCTGTAAGAAGCAAAAGAGAAAGACTGCAGAAAAATATTAAGGATGCGTAACATACCATTGCAACAAAACAAAACTATTAATTAATATTACTAATTAGAACCATGGCAGCTGCTTTCCTAGTTTACTTTGCAATCTTTGTGCAAAATACGGGCAGATAAAGGTGGTCTTTCCAAATAAAAAGAAAGAAAGAAAGAAATGCAGACATGTATGGTGGCATAAGCTCCAATGTTCCTACTGCATTCAGGAACACTGACAAAATCACTTATTCAAGCTAAAAAAAAAATATGCCTCCACTTCCATTAAGAACGCAGAATTTATTCCATATTCAGTACATGGCTTTTCACAAAAGGTGGGAGTAACTCGGAGAACTTAGCAACCTCGATGACCTTAAACGTCTTTTCCAACCTAAATGATTCCGTATTCTGCTATTCTACGTTCTCCCACAGGACAGCACACACCTTCAAGTTCAAACCTACCACAGATACAAAGCTATGAGATGGTTCATCTAATATCTACCCTGTTTTTCCATAATCACAGAATTCATACTCAAGAGTAGCTAAAAGTAGAAGCAATAAAGATTTGTTTTCGGCAATACCATCAAGTTTAGGCAAGCATGAAATGTTATCAATTTTAGCTAGACAGGCAAGCTCTTTGTGCTGTATGGTTGGTCATTCACAGAAATACTGCTGCTTCCATTATATTCAAATGTATTTGAAGCTTGTGAAATGCAAGATACGATGGTGGGAAAAAGTTACTACTCAGATCTCCTTTTACAAACTCTCAGACTTTTCTCCTCATGCCCTGGCCTTTCTGGTTTTAAGTTTGGATGCAAAAGTGCTTTTCTTTTTTTTTCTTCTTCTTCTTTTTTTTTAAGATAATTTTTGAGGACAGATTCACTTATTTTGGTACACTAAAATAAGCTATGCACTATACCACTCCTTTTTGTTCTGACTTAAAGGGAGTTTTCATCTCCTTTCCTTTTTTCAGAGACTGCCATGTTCCTGCAGCACACAGCTAGCCAAATATGCTCATTAACCATAGCCTACAGCCCCTACTGAGGGAACTTCTGCACACGGCAGGTCAATGAGATACAAGAAGGTCTCTTGCCTCTCCATTTTTATGCAAAGACATTATGCCATTTGGTAGCAGAATTAAGCACATTTTCACCATACAATGCACCTGAACATTTCTTTTCCAAAAAAAGGCTTTGCTGTAGTTTTGCCATGAAGACTGACAGATGTATGTATGGTAAAATAATTTTGTTTGCTTTTCACCAGCCTACTGAAATAACCACCTGCAGTAACAGCAGTAATGGTTTTGTCTTTCCTGGCCAACCTTACACACGTGCATGTGTGCTGTGCTGTGCTCTGCTGCATAGAAACTGGGCACATACACCTGCAAGTCCTCCATTGATCACTTTGCAGTCCACGTACAGTAAACTGCTTTTGTTACTTCACAAAAATCCATTTACCAATGTAAACGTCTGTGTCCGACTCAGTCCCTGTCTTCTGGGTCTACCGTGCATGCACAATTTTATCAACAGAACTACATGCAATGCTATTTTTCATACGTCAGTCTTAGCGGCACAGATAAACTTTAAAGCTATGTTGAGAAAAATATATCCATTTTCCTCATCACTCCACTGTGATCTATCTGCTCGCACAGGGTAAACTTTCTCAACAAGGTCTTGCAATAAGATTGAATTTGTCAACGGAATATTTTTCTCCAACTGCATAACGCCAAATCTTTCTGGTGTACTAAACACTCTTAGTGATAACATTAAGAAGTCAGTAAAGAACTGAAGTCCCTACAGCTAAATCACCAAATCTGGAAACCTCTGAGCAGTACAGATGGTGATCTGCTGCAAACATTTCAAAGAAATGTTGTTAATAATGCAGACAGGCACAAGCGTTTGCAGCAGAATTCAGTTTCTCCATCTGAGCCATTTGCACTGTGCCGTCGTGTCAGTCAGCAGAGCAACGCAACGACACAGAAGTCAGCGTGCACATGCAGCATCATTAGCTGCATTTTGGTACTTTCAGAGTTACACCAAAGACTCTTACTCGGCAACTGCTGCTGCAAGGTTTTGCTGACGCCTGGAGCAGTAGGCTGCTGCAAGGGACAAAAATTCCTGGGATGTCTGGTTCAGCTATTTCCTTATCAGAAACAAAGAACCACTGACCAGAAAACACTGACAGCCTGTTTATCAGTTCCTGTTAACGTGGAAATATGATGTGCCCTTCCCACTGCTAAGTGAGGAAAGGTTCTGGCATCATACACTGAATCTCCATGCTTCCTGCAACAGAATTTACTGTGTTAATTTTATTTATCTTTTTTCCATGTAGTGGTATTTACAGCTAAGCTAGCTGACTGTAATTGGAATGTCAAGGACCCTGCAGGAAATACGTTTTCACTGCTGGTTTTGCTACTGCACAGCTTTATGCGGTGGTTTTATTGCTCAGTTGCCTGTAGGATGCACCTTCACTACATGAAAATCTCACACCTCACATCTTCTCATCCTACATTAGATGCATAGGATTTACGCTATGTGGACTTCACAGCCTCCGCATGCTTTGCTGTGCCACATGGCCACTTCAGTTCTGCACTGAAATGCCATACAAATTAGCAAACAAGAAGGCTCAACAACCCTAAGACATACCAGCTTTTCCAAAGCATAGCTGAATTCCATTCCTAGCCAGCTAATGGTTCTAACTGGTGCCACTGTTTGCGCTGTCTCAAGCCTTGTGCAATCTGGCATTTCTCCTATTTTTCTAGGTCTGGAATTCACTCAGTCTCTGCTGCTTTTACAGATTCTGAATTACCAAGGGACTTAAGCAGGTGCCTACCTTAAAATGCATAAGTAGTCCCACTGATTTTAATAGGATTATCCATGTGTTTCAAGTTAGTCATGTGCATAAGTACCTTTCCAAGTGCAGACTACAGTTTTCTATAGCTCCCAAGAAGTTTATCTTTTCTCACAGTAGCACTAACTTTTGGAGGGGATGTAAATAAGGTGTCTGTGGGGTCACATAATGATCAGGTGCATCACAGCTGAAGCGAGGATCAAGTGCTCCAGAGCTGTAAGATGTGGGGATGCTATAAAAGTTTCATAGCTAGTGAAGATTCAAGGAAAATGTTAAGAACAGGTGCAGCACAGCAGCAAGCCAATTTCCCTTGCCCATCCCTCTGTATTAGACAAAATACTAGTGTCTTTGTAAACATCTCTCTTTTCTTCAGCTTTCTCAGTATATTTGCATTTAAAATATAGTCTGCATTGCTCCAGAAAATACATTTGTGAGAATAAAAAGCTGAAGTGTCAAAACCAAGAAAACCACCACCTGTATTTTACAAACTGAATCCTGGATAGGCAACTGTTTGTCAATGGAGAAAACAAATTGCGAAGAGGGCGTATCTTGGGAGATCTTCAGAGAAGCACTCTCAGCTGTTGCAAAAAGTCTCCAGAACTCAAAAAGCAAAATAAATGTCTTCCATTTACAGGGCAATTGTAGGAAACTAGTAGAAAATACCAAGCTGTTCTGCCAATGCATTATTAATCATACAGAACTGTATTTAATTATTCTTTTAGAGGATGTGCAAGTGCTAGTCATCCTAGAACTGCAAAACAGCTCCCAATGAGCTGCCTTACTGTGAGCTGCTTTAACAGGCAGCATTGCCTGTTCCTGCTCCGGCAGGGGGATTGGACTAGATGATCTTTTGAGGTCCCTTCCAATCCCTAACGTTCTGTGATTCTGTGATTGCAGAGGACTCATATTTGGGTTGAAAATCTGAAATAAAATCTAAAGGAATATTGCCTATACCAAATCCAGCCTACTGTTCGTCTGTCCAAGTTTTGAACTACAAAACAAATCTGAGATAGAGCATGGGACTGGAAATCCAAACAACTATCACACCTCTTGCTAACACCAACCTCTTGTATCACCTTAACAAAGCTCCTCGGCCTGAGAGCTGGAGAAAACAATCCTGCACTACCTCCCCAGATCACCAAAACGCTAAAAATGCCTTTATTGTCTTTGAACTCCTCAAGAGTTACTCTGTAATCAGAGCAGCTGTAAACAACCGAGCGGGTTCAGAACAAACCCTCTCACACTACTTCATCGGCACCTAGCGGGCACTGATGCTGCTGCACCTCATTTACAGAGACACCTCAGCCCCTGGACTTCACTAATAACTCCGTTTGGGTACCAACAGCCACCAGCTAACACCGACAGCTTAACAAAAGAAATAATTACAAATACGAAAGGTGAAATTAATAGAACGGAGTAAATCGAATTATCAAATAATCAAATACACAGAGTGACATTGTTCTATCTGCATTCATGGTTAGGCTGTAACTTAGAATTGGTCTGGATTATTTATCAAAAGCACATTCTCTTCCAAATATTAACATGCTAACTGTTAACAGAAAAATCTCACAAGAATTGACATCTACACTAAAAATATCCTGGCAGAAGATCTCAGTCAAAATACGTGTTTCACTGGATTCCTCATATAACCAATACATTGACGGTTAAGTGTCTGTAAACGACCGTCCCTTTTCATGCTGAATCTGCAAAAAGTCCATTCTTTCAAAACTGAGACCATCCTAGAAACTTTAACATCGCTCTACTGTGCAGTAAAACTATGCCACCTTCTGTACTGTACTGTTTGTATCACTCACTGGAAACATCAGCATTCTTATTATGCAAGCGAGAGGGCAAAAAATAAAATACCACCCTTGAGCCAGGAGACACGTGCTGCCCTATGAACCTAACAGCACGTCATAAACTGTTGGAATCCTACTCTCCAAGCAGGCAGAAAAAAAAATGTTGAATGGAAATGTCTAGCAGGAAACAGCGAATAAAACCAATGGAGGAAAATGGCACAACATGCAAAAAGCCTAAAAAAACCGCTCAAAGGCAGTTTTCACTGGGTTTTATTTCCCTGTGAATATATGTGGAATTTGGTTTTGGATACAACGTGCAAGTCACTACTTTCCTGCAGTCTGTAGAAGCATTCAGGAAGTACCTGACAAGTTCCCCATCCTGCACTTATCATCAAGCTGTTTCTGTCACACGAGCTAAAATATTTCTACTCTTCTAATGCTTGCAGCATTTACAAAAGCTTTTGAATACAACAGACTCAGCTGGCGCTTTCTAAACTTACATTTAACAAGGGCAAGCTTTACATCTTTATGTGTACATATTACGAGTACCAGCGAATATTCCTGTGGGTAACGGGCCAGCTCAGCTTAACATCACAGATGTAGTATTTCCTCTAATAGTTCTTGTTAATGATATATTCAGTAAATGTGTGTATTAACATTCACTTCACTTAGCTGCTACTATATTTGCTATAAATTTACTTAAATTGCATCTGATCCAAGCAGGTGCATGAAATGAACAACTGCTTGATAGGTCAGGAGGCACTCCTTAATTCTACAAAGGACTGGCCTGAACCAGTGATAAGGTACCCCACAGTTTTAAAATTACTCCTGTCTGGCTGATTTGTGCCTAAATGGGATGAGTATTTTGCAGAAAAGCTAACAGGCACACAAAGCTGTGTCTGGCACTTAATGCTGTCTCTGTAAGGGGAAAATCCAACTCAGAGGAGCGTGGAGAAGGAATATCCATGGCACCTAAAGCAAAGTGAATCTGCTTTACTATTTAGTCAGCCAGGAACAACTCACCAAAAGACAGCAGGTCAATTTGGCCTTGCTAGGTCTGACCCTTTTGCAGTAGAAGCAGGTTATCAGCCAGACAAGCGCCTCAAACAGCCATTTCTGTCAGACATGAACTACTGAGGGAAAGGCAGCAAAAACAGAGGCACCCATGCAAACCTGCATGAATCTCTGATGAAAGTTGGAGAGAAACAGATCCTAATCGAGCCTAAGCAATGGGTGAGTGATTCGCAATGCCAGCATGGACTCACACAGATGGACCCTCATGTTAAAAGTGAAGTGGATTTTGTAGAGAGCCAGAATTAACAGGGTGAAACTGAGAAGGAAGCTGCTGTGATGGAAGAAGAGTGAAGTACCTGACCCGTGGAGGTGAGGAATACAGCCAGTTTTGGCAAATGGGCTCAGCCACAGAAAGGCTGGAGGCTTTTCTGGCCTAGTGGGGATCTGTAAGCATGTATGGAGGAGTTACTGCAGCCACTGTCTCAAGGGGTGGTGGAAACACAAGATAAAATGGTAACACACAAACATTTGAAGAGCTGTGCTGTGTTTGGTTTTCCACACCGAAACCACTGCTAAAATTCAGAAAACGGAAAACCCATCAATAAATATGGGAATGACAAACAACTGCCTCAGTCTGCATCAATTCTGCATCAGCTCCAACACAAAGGAAAACAACTGACTTGTAGCAGTGGCCCTAGAAATTTAACATGGAAAAAACCCACCAAAAAAATCCCAAACAAATCCCAAATCGTAATGCTTCCTACGTACAAAGGCTGATGTCTGCATGAGGAGTTATCTCCAAAGCTACACAGAGATTAACTTCCCTGCTCTGGGTGATGCTGCACAGAAGAGCAACGTCCCCCTCCCTTGGATGGCATGATGCTAGGCCAAGGGACAGCATCCAAACTACCCTGGCTCACTCAGTGACACCACTTCCACACTCAAAATCTGGTTTTGCAGGTCTTTCATAGTGATTGATGACTTCCACAGAGCACCTCTCCTACAACTGCAAGAACCTCTGGATTAACCCAAACACTGTTGTACCAGTCTAAATAATGACAGCAGTTATCACTGAACTACTGCCCAGCCTCCATGACAATTACACATTGTTTATAGTCAGAGGAGATTAACATTCTCATTGCAAAACAGCTGCACTGAAAGCTGTCTCCTCCCTCCTGTTACTTTCTTCATTTAAATACATCAAACACATACTGTATCTACTCCAATCTAATCCTAAATTAAATACTTGAGAAAGAACAAAACTAAAGCCCACATATAGGAGCAAAAACCTCTCTTCTGTAGTGCTATGACTCACAGAAATATGGCAATGCTGAAGACTCCAGCAAGGCGGGGGAAGGAAAGAGTAACACAGCTGTGGAACAACGCTAGCCCACATTTTGTACACTGACACAGGAGGTCCCATATTTAAGAACTAGATTTAGGAAAAAGATAGCATTCATCCAAAACCATGGAAAGCATAGACTTACCTGCAGTTCCTAAGTTAAGTAGTACGGCAACCCAAAACACCCAGAACACAATGAGAATCAGAAAGGTCCAGAGTGGCTGGAACAGGAGGAAAGGAATTCTGCCAGTGATTTTGCCAACAATTCGGAAGAGTTGTACAGTGAACGGAAGCCTCTTTCTTAGTACAAATATAAGGGAAAGCAGAACAACCTGTTACAGGAAATAAAAAGACAAGTTGTTGGTTTTCTTTTTCCTTAAGAGAAGTATCAGAGCCGTCAAATGTGGCGCAAGGGGGTACAGACTTCACAAAGACGTGACAGCAAGGCATTTTATGCAAACATACTGCACAGCGGAAAAGCTTTCTGAGACACTGCCTATACTCCCAAAGAGCCTGTGGATTACAATCTCATTTTCTGAAATCATTACTACTGTTTCCTTAAAACAAAATAGGATTCATAAAACTGTAATTGACTCAATGGAAACAGTCTGCATTGCTTAACAGCAAACACAATGTACACTACACATTCATGTATCCTGTATGTCTTGAACATTTAAACTTTCTTCCTACTCAGGTTGGCTTGCCACTGTTAACAATGTTAGGAGGACCAGTCCTTTTCTGCAGAAAGGACAGCAGCATAACCAAACTAATTTGAGAGCTGTGTATAAATACAAGCAAAGCAGAGATAAAATGAGGCCTCATTTAAATATTTTTCCCCCCAAAGTAAAAAACCAAAACAACCCAGGTCAAAACCTCCATGATATCTTCAGTTCTTTGTACATGACAAGGAACTATGCCAAGCAATTAAAAGAGAGATTAGAATCCATAAAACATTAAATGCAACCAGCATCAGTTGCTGCACCAGTTTTCTAGTCTGCTCTAGAAAGAAGCTACCAGCTCTAAAGAGAAGAGCAAGCTGCAGCAGTGGATATTCCCACAGTTCTGCAAATGATGGTCAGTTGTACTGGTACACACATGCATAATAAAGACCCTTTTCTTACCCCTTTAGTGTCAACAGAAGTAAAAAGGTCATAACGTACAGAGGATATGAAAAAGAAATCTGATCTGTGACATTTATATCTGTCACTGCAAACTGTCAGACTGTTCATATCTGGTGAACTCCAGTCTATGGATCCTACTCTGCTTCAAGAAAACAGAAGAACAACCATTTTGACAAATGTCTTGTGAAGTACAAATTGTCTTGTACACTCATATTGAGCAATGGCTTCTTTAACATCGCAACATCAGAGTGAAAAAATGTACTTAAAAGTTGCAAGCCACACTCAAGACTTTCTGCTGGAAAACAAGGCCAATGAGAGAAAAGCAGAATTCAACCCTGTAACTCGAGGCCTAGACACTGCTGCCTGTGCTCCACTACCCCTTTCATTGTCTACAAGAGCTGCCACCCCTTTCTCCTACTGACAGGGTAGGCTGAATCCACAGATCTCACATTTGTATTGAGCCAGTGCTGCTCTGCTCACTCAGCTCGATTCTCCAGTTCGCTGATGCAGAGAGGAATGGGGATTGAACACAGTTCTTGCATTCCTACACCACCAATGCTAACACTGTACAGGGCTGAACTGTGGCAGAGCTCTGTGCTGACAAACAAATTTCACGATGAAGGTATAAAAAATTTAAATGAGTGTAAGAAGATCTCAAAATTTATTCTCGTTTTCAAATTTGAAAGGAATGAGGAGTTATTTTTAACATTGCAGAACCACTGGAGTTCAAGTTTTCAAGCTACAGCCTTTGCCACTGCTTAGGATGAAATGCTACTTACGGTAACTATCGTTGAGAAGATAGCATATCCAAGTAGAAATTTTACATTTTCCTTTTCTGTTTCCAACTCAGTGCTGGGATCGTTCCTGTAGTCATAATAGAGCCACCAGAGAACACCTGAGACGACTGAGCAAACAAGAGCAGCATGAAGGCGGGCAGCACTCCCCAGGCTGCAGCACGGTGCTGCTGGCAGCCTGCTGTCTGCCTGGCCTCCTCCTCCCTCTCTCGCCCTTCTGCCTAACCCGAGCTCAGCTCAGGAATGCTGCTGTGTAGCAGAGAGGAACAGCATCAACGATCGCAGAGAAAATTCACATAACGGTCTGTTAGTCTGAGGTAAAACTGCAACAGAACATTTGGTTTTCTTCCAGTTATTCTAAAGCTCAGGCATGTAATTTCACTGAGGAGATACAAAGCTAACTTTTATGGAATGACAAGCTTTAGCTGGACACATTCCTATAGCTCTTTCTAAACCAGGCAATGCAAAACTAAGCTTTCTTTGAAACAGTAGTATTTTAATAACTGCGTTCATCTGCCAAAAGAAATGTTGTTTCCAGGCATCCATAAAAGCATAAAAAACATCATCATCCCAACACTCAGCAGCTGGAACGGCACAGCCAGACCTTGGCACTCAAAGGCAGGCAGGGCTCAGCCTGGAAATGGCTGTGGTAAGGTTAAGGTTACTGAGGGTGGCCATGGAGGAAAAGGGCAGCTGTTTGTTCAGCTGCCTCTCCTTCAGTTCAGTGAGATGATCCATTTAACTAAGCATGGGCTAAAAGGTGAAAATACTTACACAACAACCCGAATATAACCAGTGCAATCAAAGTATGGACCAGAAGCGTCCGAATGAATCTGAAGGCTAAAACCAGTATGAAAGAGAAGGCTGAAAAATACACAAAATAAGTTTATTATGAGTACTACGACCCATTTAACTTAACTCTTATTTACTTTAAAGATAAATTTAAGGTTCTTGCAGAATCTGGGCTTTTGTTTTTAAACAATGGTCTCCAACACAAGAGCATTTAGTAAAGCTGGCAACTTTTTTAACATTTAAAACACAGTTACCCGTAACTTACTAGTAATGAACTTATAACTGAAGTACTTCGCCTTGGGAATTATTAGCTTTTTGATAATATTATGTGTAAGATTTAAGTTAGAATGTTTGTGCTGATGTCATTTTTCTTCCTCAACAATTTCTTACAGTCCACTGAAATGAGGAAATGGGGCATATGATCATATTAAGGAACACAGAACCCGATATTTCATAGAGCTGTATTTTATCAGTGTATTAAATGCCTCCTGATAAAATACAATCGCTTGCTCTTAAAAAAAAATAAATCTGTGCCCAGAAACTATGAAAAAAGATCACTTTTAAATAAAAAATATAAAGTTAATAGAAACATTTGGAAGCTCATATTTTAATTCAATATCATCATTCACCTTTTATTTATAACCTTACCTAGTGCAAGGACGCTCAGTCCTATCACAGTATCTCTTCCTGCCAATATTCCACTCAGAATTCGGTGAAAAACATCCATTTCATTAACCATACTTATTAAGACAGATGCATATTTGGAATAGCATTCAGGATTTTGTGGAACACATCGATTAAATAATGGAAAAGACTTACTGGAAGGTTAAAAACAAAGATGGTAAAAAATATTAATTACTGGTCAAATAATTTCAAATCCACAGAGATCCATCCCACCATTCTCTTCCAAGCCCTCTGCAGTACACTACCAGCATCCTCAGCACAGTTTTGCAGCCACAGCCACATTCTGATCTGTGACCTGGCACAGACCTTGCACATGGAGTCTGACACAACACGGCACTGGCTGTGGGAGTGCTCTGTTACAACTGCCAGTTCTATGTTTCACCTGCAAAACAAACTCCTAGCAGCATCACGTCTGTATCACTGTACCAGAACATCCATTCACAGCCAACCTTGGAGAAGAAATGAACTACTATCTCAGTCACCATCACCATGTAGCTCCTATTCCCAGTCTAGTCTGGCTTCACCTACTTTGCTCACATGCGTTGATGTAAAACCTAAACTCATGCTGACACAGCTGTAAGCTACGTTGTTGTAGATAATTCTAGACCACAAACACTTTGCAGTGTTTTTATGGTATTTAAGTATTCTAAAAGCCACATCAAAACAATATTTGTAAGGTACAATTAACACCACCAAATATCTGCATATGAAATTATTTGGTGCTCCCAGCCAAGTTCCTTGAGTATATTTACTGTCCCACTTTGGCAATGCTACACTACAACAAATTGATACTCGTACCTAAAAAGGAGAGGTTTGTTCATCAACAGTTAATAACTTCTCCGAACAGCTTTGCTTCTACTATGAAATGTTATTGTGCAAGATTAATGACTTTGGTGAATTCCTTGCCAAATGGAAAAAAGCCTAAAGAGTTGAAGAAATAAGTAAAACATGCCATAATTTTTCATCAGTTTACATGCTCTCCTTTGACCCACTGTATATAATGTTTTTATGCGACTCCTGCTCTCTTCCATTTGCTTTTTTCCTCTTATCTTATTCAGAGCAGATGACTTAGCTCTGCAAAGATGCAGATTCCAACTCTTTGCTGTATTTTGTATTTCTGATGTCCAATGCCAGGACAAGGGGCAATGGTCCCAAGCTGGAGCACAGGAGGTTCAAGCTGAAGATGAGGACAAACTTTGTCAGTGTGAGGGTGGCAGAGCATGGCCCAGGCTGCCAGGAGAGGTTGTGGAGTCTCCTTGTGTGGAGACACCCAAAGCCCTGGCCGTGTTCCTGTGTGACTGCTCAACTCTTTGTATTTTGTATTTCTGATGTCAAATGATAGGACCAAGGGGCAATGATCCCAAGCTGGAGCACAGGAGGTTCAAGCTGAAGATGAGGACAAAGTTTGTCAGTGTGAGGGTTATGGAGCATGGCCCAGGCTGCCCAGAGAGGTTGTGGAGTCTCCTTGTGTGGAGACACCCAAAGCCCTGGCCGTGTTCCTGTGTGACTGCTCTGGTGATCCTGCTCTGGCAGGGGTTGCACTGGGGGAGCTTTCCAGGGCCCTTCCAACTCCTGACATTCTGTGATTTTCATGACACTGAAATTTAAAATAATGGGTTTAAGGATTCTGACTCAAAAATGTCAAATGTTAAAGACAGTGCTGTCCACACATCTGTGCTTCAGGCCAGATGGCTGTGAAATAATTCTGATAGAAATTTCTAGGTTCTGGATAGTAAGCGAAGCCCAAGCTCCTCTTCCTCAGCATCAAGGGAGAGAGCAGAAGTCCATGCAGACATCACTCCTCGTATGGAGTCTTTTCCCCTGATTCAGAGAGGAAAAGTCTCTAAAGGGCAGAGGAATGGAGGAAATACAGTCCTAGTTCATGCTGTGGCACAGGATACTGCCATGTTCACAGGCACACAGGAGAACTCACAAGGACACACGTACAAAAATATATCAACAAAGCAACACCATTCTGACTGTAAAGCATCAGGTCAAATACAAAATGTGAGGAAGTGACAATCCCTAAGACGCTGTTTGCACTCAAGGGTGTTGTAAAGTACCCAGTAATTCTTACCTTGGTGGAACAGGCAGTGTGGGACACAGCCCAGCTGCCTTTGGATTTAGTGTGTAACTGGAAATGTTCAGGTTGTAAACACAAAGACAAGAACCTAAGAAGGAATAAAAAAAAGAAAAGGTAGCTTAATATTAGTTAAAGTTTTCGAGAAAAACACATTATCAATTAAGCTTTGTTTACACTTCTGCTTTGATCCCTCAGCAGGCCGTGTTCACCTCTGATACTCCAGTGGGAATGATGTAAATAACAAATTAGTTAATTGGGTACATCTAAAGCAATCTCTGCGGAATCTGTTGTCATCCAGACTTAACTATAATTACCATTTACTGATCTTCCTGGAAGGCAGGCACACTATTTGTTCCACAGTGCAATACTTCAACTCCAAACTCTTACTCATTAAGATAAGAGAACAGAAAAACCTAAAATGATGGAAGCTGCAGTAGGACTAGGCCTCCCATGATTTAGAGCAGAATATGTATCTATCCAGAAATGTAACATTATTTTCTGGGCTCTAGACTAACAACTACCAGGTACTCTGCAAATAACGCTCTGCTTCATTATATCAAGAAAGGCTGGATACATTCAAGCCATTCAAAATGCAATACTGCCCTCTCCCTTGAGATAAACATGCAAACAGTTTTAGGATGTAGACAGAATTTCATACAATTATATTCAGTTACATTGAAAAGACACATAATATCACAGGTGTTTACAGCTTTCTGTACACACCAAATGATGGCAAAATACCCCAAAATGAAATTAAAACAAATGTTATCGATTTAAATAGCAATCCTTGCCAGAATAAATGACAAAACAAAAAAGAATGGAATTCTGACCTCAAATAAATTCATATAGTCTGCAGTTTACGCATACCCTGTGGCTAAGAGTTAGGCTGCAGGTTATTTTATTTACATGTTGAACACAAATGAACTGGAGCTGTCTCTTCTGCACAATAGCTACCTCTGACTTCATATCCACCCTGAACACCAGAATAAAATAAAAACACATACAGGTGGAATAGCAAACCTTGGGATTTGATGTCTAAGGGATACAAATACTTCTGTATCTCTGGAATTAATAACTCCACCACAGTGTCAGTTTAATTTAAAACCAGCAGTTGGACAAGTTCCTCCAATAGCATATGAGCTCTGTTCACCTACTGGCACCCCCACCAAACTGCACTAGGTCATTCTCAGCAGCCAGTTTTCTGCTGGATAATCTCAGCGTTGTGCGGGAATTAATCAACAACTTTTGAATTTGCATAAGAGAGCTATAACATTTCTATAAACTACAGCTTTGAAATAAAGCAGAAACAAGACATTTTCTCTTCTGTTGCCATGGCCTGCTCAGGAAATTAATGGTAAAAAATTACTCCCTAGCGTAGCAAACATAATAACAACAAAGTGAACGCCGCTCAACTGTTCTACAGATACAGTAAGATATTCACATTCCCTGTTGCACACCATTATTCCTTGCAAAACTCTGGAGATCTTCCAAAGAGTTGAGTTGCTCTTGTGGACAACTAGACACGCACAAGGAAACTGAACTGATTTTGAGGCTCTGCACTTCCAGGCTGCATGAATTCAGAAAGAAAACATACCTAGAAAGAGAAAAAGATCCTGTTTTCAAAACATAAGATTTCTGGGGTTTATAGGTTTAAATTCTGAGCCTTCTTTGCACCTTTTTAAAACACTACAAAGCAAATGAAATTCTTTTTCCTCATATAATGGAAAAAGTAGAGTTTGAAGTCAGAAGTCAAGAAGCAATGTGAGAACATGTTACATTTTTTACACATAATTTTTTGTCATTAAATGGGCTCAGAAGCTGACAAGGTGGGTGCTTGTACAAGGACTAGTTCATGGGAGTCAACAGAATGACTGCAAACTTCAACATCTAACTTCTTTAAGTACAAAGATGTGCCATACACAATGACTCCTGGTATGGCCAAAGTCCTATTTAAGATCTTATTTAAGAAGAAGCCAGCACAAAGCAAACTGATGTGGCACTTTTTCAAATTCTATCTTAACTTTTTTGTTTCAGTCACCATTTTGCACCATTCTCATACCTTCTTTTTGGCCTTTGAATATAGGCACGTATATATACACATATGTATATGACTGACAACTAGAAGATGCGTATCTCATTAAGTTCTCAAACATTTGATTTATTTAGACATTATCTGATGTACTTACTTTTTATTTGTCATGTCCTGTCCAGAAAGGGGAGCCCCTTTTACAGGACTGTTCTTCCTACCACATATGTTTCCGAAGCTGTCATATCCAAGCACAAGTCTTTCTGCAGCACCAGCCATCACAGCATAGCCAGTTACAAACATCTGTTAAAATATCTTTAATGTGAAATCGTGCTACAATAGGTTTTCCTTCCCATTCAATAAACACTCATTTTAACCTATGCATTTTTGTCCTGTGGATGCAAACAGTTAAGTCTAAAATTCACCGCTCTGCACAAGGCTGGAGCAAGTCATATGGACAAGTTAAGACCCATGGCCTCCTTAGAGCTTTTCGTATTGCTGAAAGTATGTAAATTGAGAAGGATATCATCAGTGAAAAAAAGACAGGGGTCCTGATTAAAATAGCAGGAAAGCTGTAGTAAGGTGCAAACACTGCCTCTGTCGACGTTCATGTGTGCCACTAGGCAAGGTCACACCATCGATAATAACAAGGGAAAGTGCAGAGTCCTGCAT